TCGTCTGCAGCAGCAACAGAGGAGGGGGCGAAGGGTTAGGTTTCTTTTCTAAGACCGACACCAAAGCAGCCCGAGCCCCCCAAATTCGCCACACCAACACAATAAAAACATGAAGGTCGACAAGTAAGCCTAGGTTAGTGGTAGAGTTGTTTGGAGAAAGGCGAAGGTAAATTCTGAGCTCTTATGATTTTGAAAATGTCGAAGTACTCGTAGAAGTTTTAGTGAAGGCAGGAGACAGATCTTTAAGCTTCTATGTCAAATTTATGAGGAGAAAGGTGAGGAAGGGAGAGGTATGAATCCTTGGTTTCAAAATTCATAGTACTCGTAGACTGGAAGGCTAAGGGTATCGTCGTAGATTTATTTTTAAGAGAGAGTGTGGAATAGCTTGGAGTGGAGCGTTATATGTGGAAGTCGAGGGGGGGGGAGGGAGTTGAATCTCTGATTGTAAAATTCAGAGTATTCGAGCAGCTTAGAAGGACGAGGTTATAGTTGGAGATAGTTGGGAGAAAAGTGGTGGATTTAGGTTTTTGTCGAGAGGTGAATGGGGATGTTATTGGTGTTAAGTACAGAAATTAGGTTGTCGGTTGCCCTCTATAAAATGTGGCCTCAGCCTGGTTCACCCTACAGTGTGGGGTACTTGCTAGAGCCGCCGTACCATGTGGTTGGAGTAGGGAGTGGTAGGTCGAGGTCGCTAACCAGGGCTGTTCCTGGTGCCTCAACATAGCTCCAAATCGGCACAGATGTTTGCCGGAGGTTAAGTTTCATCCCACCTCTGGGGGCACGCCAAGCCGCCGCATACTGGCTGTCTCCTGTCCCGTGTTTTAGGGGTGGGTGGTGATGGTGTATTGGGGTTGTTTAGTATGGAGGGGTTCCTGTTTCTGTATCTGTATGAGATTATAATATTGTCAAAGTATTCCTGCCAGTGTGGGTGTATGGTTAGGAGGTTTACTGTCTGTTGGTCACCTAATTGTTTCCAGTAGATGTTGAGTGATAGAATGGAGCTGTGATCATGTGGGTGTTCGTTTGTGGTGAAGGATGTCCAGTGTGTGTTGTGTATGTATCGTAGTGATTTATCTGTAGTTTCTTGGTGTTGGTTGATGATGCTAACTGGAGTGTGTTGGGTACGTATGTCAGGAGTGTTGGTTGATGATGCTAACTGGAGTGTGTTGGGTACGCTATGTCAGGAGTGTTGGTTGATGATGCTAACTGGAGTGTATTGGGTACGCTATGTCAGGAGTGTTGGTTGATGATGCTAACGTGTGTTGGGTACGCTATGTCAGGAGTGTTGTTGATGATGCTAACTGGAGTGTGTTGGGTATATGTCAGAGTGTTGGTTGATGATGCTAACTGGGTGTTGGTACTATGTCAGAGTGCCGTACGAGGGCTATGTATAAGTGTGGTTTTGTTTTGATTGATGCGGTTCTGAATCTGTAGATGCTTGAGAGTGTCTTGTTTGTGATCGTTGTCTTTGCCTTGCTGTGATGGTTCGTGGTGAGGGTGTCGTCGAATGGAAATCCTAACAGGAATGGGTGTTGGGTTGTCCAGGTAAGGATTTAGATATATGTGGCGAGGTGCCTTTTGTGCCGAAGTTGATGATTTGTGATTTGTTGGAGTTTGTTGGTGTTCTCAGAGTGTGACCTGTTCGAGTTCCCTGTGTGCTTTGTTTGTGAGATGGTCAAGTCCTAGTTTGTGTCTGACTAATTGCGCTAAGCCGTCGGCGTAGGCCTATTGTATGGTCAATGGGTCGGTGTGGAGAGGGTCAGGCAGGTCATTTACGTAAAGTATGTATAGTGTTGGGGGGAAGAACATGAGAACCACACATCCCCTACTCCACTATGTTACGCCGTCTCTTAATTTACTTAAATATCCAGGTTCTAGGCGTAACCAAACAAAAAAAGTGAAGTAAATAAAGAAGAATAAAAATAAATAAAGTAAACCTTTAAGAATTTAATTAATTAAATATTAACACAATAAAGAGCCTCGTAGGCTGTCACAACAAATTGATTCACCATCGAAACTTTTAAGACACAAATGATACTAAACATCGAACATCAAAAGAATAAAAAAAAAGCATTGGATTACGTTAACACTGCATAAACATATAAAAACTATCACTGAAATTAACTAACGTGAAACAACACTGAATTACTTAAATGTGACTAAGCAAATACTGATGGACATAAATAGAGACATAAATAGGTACTCACATAGATATACCACATTGGTGGCGACAGAACAACACAAATAAATTAAGTATAAGTAACAGGTGACGAGTGTCATCAAAGGATGTGGACTGTATGACAAGAGGACTGAACTGCCTCTGTCTACAGGTGGAGTACTATATATATGGTCGGTTCGCGCCAAGCGATCAGCCGGTGAACATGGGTCGTTTAACGATGCAGATGGTCGATAGAGCAACACAGAATGCTTGTTACAATACTAAATGAAGAAAATAAGATGGGCTTGAACAAATAATAACAGTAAAACTTAACAGCAACAGCGGGGGTGACTAGATTATACAATAGTAAATATAACACATCATTACAGGAATAATATGGAACATGGAAGCATGTTATATAACAAAAAAAAAAAATACGACACGGTTCAAACCATCGTAATTTTTTCCAGCAATTTTAATCTTAGGTCACTGACATATAAATTTAAGTAACATATTATCAGTTTTGTACTGACCATCACTAAGGTTTATAGAATTCATTTCCCTAATTAAACGTGATTCAAGCAGAAATCTGTCTATGACACATGATGATTTATACTGTTGTTCCAGTCCATGGCATGATTATTATCCCTAATATGGGGGTAATACACTGCTGATGCTACTCTGACATTATATTTGTGCTGTTTTATTCTATGTCGTAAAGTTTTCCCAGTCTATCTCACATAATTCCCATTATAATATTGCTATGTGGAATACAATAAACATTTACATTAACATTCAAGGTTGGACTCTTCTTAATTTATATACTTGTAATAGTTCAAAACTGATCTCCAACAACTTTATATTTTTTTCGTAAATCTTTTATATTATTTCACGATAAAAAAGGACATTTGTCTCATTAAAATAATCTGAATAATTATTTTTCAAATTTTTACCACCGAAAATTTAAATATGATACCCAAGGCACCAACTACATACAGAGATAGTGAAGAAATAAATTAGGCGAGATAGTAGTGACTGGTAACGACGTTAGTAAGCAATAGACAAACTAAAGCCAAATAAGTCACCAGGTCCTAATGAGATATTTGCCAGAGTATTAAAGATGAATGAAGAAACTGAGCTTTGTTAAAGAGTTGATATGTCCTAAAACGGTGTAGTACCAGAATCCTGGAGGATAGCGAATGTAATACCGATTTTCAAGAAGGGAGATAGATCACTATCCTCTGATTACCGTCCAATCAGTTTAACATCAATTGTAAGCAAATTACTGAAATCAATAATTTCAAACTCTATTCGAAATCACCTGAAGAAGCACAAGGTTGATCATTGATTCCCAACATGGCCTCACAAGCGAGCGTTCATGTCTAACTAATCTATTAACATTCTTTTCAACTGTTTTCGAATCAGTGGACGTCGGGCTCAACTAAGATGTGGTATATCTTGACTTTAGCAAAGCCTTCGACAAAGTCACCCACGAAAGACTAATAAGAAAAGTGGAGGCTCATGGCATTGGAGGAGATATTCTAAAATGGATTAGGGCGTGGTTATGGGACAGGAAACAGCGAGTGAGCATTAACGGCACTAAATCCGATTGGAGTAACGTCACTAGTGAAGTTCCCCAAGGCTCAGTACTTGGACCATTATTATTTATTATATACATAAACGACATAGATATCGGCGTAGACAGCAACATAAGTAAATTTGCTGATGACACTAAAATAAGGCGTGTAATTAAATCTGACGAAGACTCCGCAAAACTTTCAAGAATATCTAAAAAAAAATTTCGAATGGTCTGAAAAATGGCAAATGAAATTCAATATGGATAAATGTAAAGTGCCTAGTCTTGGAGATGTAAATCGAGAAACCAGATACCAGATGAACAACGATGTTATTGAGAAATCCGACTGCGAGAAGGATTTAGGAGTAATGATGAGTAGGAATCGTAAGCCAAGTAAACAATGTGTATTTGCACGAAACAAGGCTAATAAAGTACTTGGGTTCATACTAAGGAGTGTTAGAATAAAGGAGGTCTTTAAGATTATATCTTGCGCTTGTGAGACCTCACTTGGATAACGTAGTTCAATTCTGGTCACCGTATTACAGAATGGATATAGAATCCTTGGAAATAATTCAGAGGAGAATGACAAGACTATTCCGGGCATTAGGAACCTTGAATACAGAGACAGGTTAAAGCATTTTAACTTGCACTCCCTCGAGAGACGTAGAGTGAGGGGCGATATGATAGAGGTGTATAAATGGAAGTCAGGGCTAAACAAAGGGGACATTACAAAGGTACTCAAACTATCCAACCAGGAGCGAACTCGCAACAATGGTTTTAAATTAGTCAAATTTAGATTTAGGACCGAAATAACTAAAATTGGTTTAGAAATAGAGTAATGGATGAATGGAACAAGTTACCAAACATCATCATTAACTCGAATACGCTGGATAGCTTGAAACATAGGTTGGGTGGATATAAGAGCAATAGGGTTTGGGTGTAAATGGGACCGCCCAGTGTGGGCCAATAGGCCTGCTGCAGTTTCCTCCATTATTTTGTTCTTATGTTAACATAAGGAATCAAGTGAATAAAATATAATTCCTAATCAAATCTATGAAAACAAAATATATACAGTGTATGGGCCGGATGTGCCTACGGACGAAATAAATGTTACTATCCGTAGTCATTTGCATTCCTTATAAAAGTTACTTGAATTGAATTGTACATTTACTGATGTTTCATATGATGATTCTCTATTTGTTTGCACTCATCCTATAAGTCTTGTACTGTAAACTCTAAACAAATTAAGAGCTTTTCTCTTTACAGCTGCAGACAGTGACCAGCTTCAGTACTCAAGTGCAGTATGTCACCCAGGCACAGCAAGCGACACAGTACATCACCCAGACCGTCACCAGCACGCAGGTCCAAAACAATGTGGTGACTCAGACGCAGCAGGTGCCACAGTACATCACCCAGACAGTCACCAGTACACAGATCCAGAACAATGTGGTGACTCAGACTCAACGTGTTCCGGAGTACATCACCCAGACCTTGACTCAGACTCAGCAGGAGCCACAGTACATTACTCAGACTGTGACCACCACCCGGGTCCAGCAGCAGGTGGTGACCCAGACCCAGCAAGTACCCCAATACATCACCCAGACGGTCACCAAGACCCAGTACCAAACAGCACAGGCCGACTGTGGTGGATCCTCCTACGACGCCCCCACGACCATAATGACAGGATATTACTAACACTAATGCTGTCCTGGTGCTGATCAGTTAAAGCAGCATGTCTCAGGCTGTGTGTGAAGCCCCTGGAGGAGAGTACTGTAGCATGAAGGAAAATATGGCGCTGGTAGCTAGTATCAAGTTTCAAACAAGCAAGAATTACTTATCATGGCCGATAAGCCAACACTTGTTTGGGCCTTGTTTCATCAATTGTTATTTATATCTGAAACTCCCAACCGTGAGTTAACTATTCATAAGTACTTGTTATACAGTATATACTTCAGAGACTAGATTTAGCTGCTGAGAGTAATTGAGATTTCTACTGTCTGAGTAAGAGCTTAGTGAAGTGTAGCATCATTGTGTTAATAGTCTGAGCTGTACTCCTGCTGAGTGACTGCGACCCTTAACCTGACACCTCTACTATATTTATCATATATTGTAAAACTATTAATGGACGTTTTAGTACTATACTTATAGTTGCAATAAAAACCTAGTTGAGTTTTGATAGATATAAAGGATATGACACATGGCGATCAATTATTATCATTGCCAGCCAACAGACACAAAATAGGGCAGTAAATATGAAGGTCACCTATTGACATTAGCCATCTAGAGGACAGAGTACCACTTAGGTATTTCATTCTGGTTAACGCCAGACGAATTTATTCAGCTGAAGGGAACTTCTGACCGCCGAAGGTTTAATACATAGTAACGGAGGTGGTAACCTTCATTGATCTGTGTAAACAAGCGACTTCAATACTTTACATGAGTCTGAGGGTCAATGGATGTGTAAACATGTCATTCTTACACTAAGGAAATTTCATTGCTCTTAACTAACCGACCAACGTGAAGCAGACGCCTGTATGAACTGAAGACAAACAATAACTTGTTCTTCATTACTGTTATTGCAATTACAACTCTCTTCTTTAGTGCCATAACATTATCTCTGCATCAATATGGTATGGCCTACTGGGTCGTGCACCTCGATAAAGTTATGTTGTTAAGCGAAATCAGGTACAAAAGGCTACAATTTTGGAGCTATTGTTTGCACTTCATTTACGATGCAAGAACCTTCAAATGTTGCATATATTTTTATACATAGCTTTGGGTATTAACGTAAATAAATGACTATTAACACGGAACATTTAGCAGTGGTCTAATTATTCTGTGTTGTGTTGAGTTTGGTTATTGTTTGGGAGCTTAAACCTATTGCTGTAAGGTTGTTTGGGCATCAGCTACCAGAGATGATTAATACAATATCATTTGTGTGATGAAGGCTCAAGAACGTTTATACATTATATGCTACATAATATGTACATTAGTCATGCATTTACAAATATATTATTTTATGTTATTTTATTGTTCCATTTGTCCTTCAGCATAATTGGATAACATAATTATTGACAATTAAAAAGTCATCTGAATATTATTAATATAAAATGAGGATGGTTTGACATTGACTCTATGTAAAAGTTTGTGTCCCGCTGGCAAGTGACCGCCCCTAAGTGCGGAAAGCAAAAGGAAAATCATTTATATTTTATTTCCTGAACTATACTGCTGAAAGAGAGAGGCGTAGAGAAAGGAGATTAGGTCACAAAATTAACTTTAAAGCACTGTGTGGATGAAACGCACGGGGGAAAAAATCGTTAAAGAATAAGGAGTGGGGCCGCAAAGTGGATACAGCTGTAGCTTTTTGTCCTATGGGTAGCTTGTTCGGGCCTAGGGTACACCTAGTTCACCCAGTTGTAACTGGGTACCTAACTTTACAGTTGGGAAGGGAAGGTGGTTGAGCATGATATTATTTACTATGAGCTTCACAGGTTATTTGGTGATATTTGTCATAAGTGGTTGTCATAAACCTCTATAATAACGAACATCAGCACCAGGTAGGAGAGTATTCAACAAAAAATTACTCTTCCAACCTCTTGAGTCAATATAAATGAGTTTATTAATGGCATCCTTAAGCCTCGTTGTTATGGAGAAATTGAAGCTGGATGCTATAAGACTAGTTTCCATGGCAACCTAGTACACCGTGTCGTCGTCAGTAAATTTGTGAGTTATCTGTATTGGTGTTCATGTATTTTTTTTTGTTTAAACATCATTTTATGGTAGCTATTATATTTTCTCATATTTTATTATATCAGCCATGAAATGACACAACATATGCTACTCTGACTGACATTAGTGTTAAGTTCGTTGCTTCATATAAATATCATATTGCTAAAAATGTAAACAGGGCCCACCTACAATTATGTAGGCCCACCTCGGTGTGAACCGACCTCACTATGAAAGGATAAAGGATGAAAATTTTATTTGTCTCTGTCGGTCAAGAGATTATTGTGAAAACTACCTCTTGGTAATCTTGCGCCATGACAGGAGAGATAACTTCCTCAGTACCTACTATAGGACCCCTCTAGGAAGGTGTCTGAGGCCGGGGGTTGGCTTTGCCCTTCACACACGAGTTCCTCTAACAGTACAAAAGTTCAGTGAAAAAAACTATATGCAACACTATACCAAATTGTTGGATGAGAAAATGGAACTCCTCCAACAGACAACACCTGGACAGCAAGTTCCATAAGGAATAGATTACGTAGCTTCACATCTGAAGGCTGCTGCGTTGAGTAACACGGATCTAATGCCTTAATGGTATGGTGGATTTTTCACCTTACAAAAGTATAATCAATGAACTTGAAATTATTTAGAGTTTTTCTTACTTCTGGAAAACACATGCAATCTGACACAGGTATACTGTCCACATTATTCAGCAAAACCCGACCCCATTGCTCAGGTGCAGTCGGCCCATACTGTAGCTGTAAGGTCCGAAAATGGTTTGGTAACGTTGAAACTGCGCATCCAGACGCATGATGAAACTCAGCTCCACCCCCCCACCTGTTATCTTTATTTTTTTCTGTTTCCCCTTCTTTATTCTTCTATTTACTCCTCTTCCTTCCTTTACTAATCCAAGCATCAGTAAAAAAAAGTAGAGTTAGAGAAAAAGTGGGGGGGGAGGAGGGAACTGTACAATAACTGCAATCCCATTCGGCAACAAGTTTACAACCATCGGATACAATATATTACCTGTAATATAAACACAAGACACTAGTAAAACATTCACAACAAATGTATTTATAACATATGTAGGAATAAAACATAAATTACAGGTCATTTTGTAATTTTGTCTGTTCTGTTCAGGACAGTGTTACCAGATATTTTGTCTCAAACACGAACCGTAGGTGTATACTTATTCTTGTGGCCGACTGTACATGTTTAGAAATTGCCAACGAGACACTATTGTATCCTACAATAGCATCACAAGGTTATACAGTATGTCGGATCATTTAAGGCACCAAAGTCATATGAATATTTTTCTATATGCTATTGAAGCAATTAAAAGCTTACTAGATGACTAAAACGCGTCACATTCATATCTTAATGACTTCACATATTCTAAATGAATTATTTTTAGCAATCTTCCTGATACAAATCCCAGCCAAATAGAACACTATACTATACTGGGATAAAATTCTACTAGGAATGCCGTATCTGACAAGGCGATACAAGCTATATTAGGAGACTCATTTTCGTGATATTTTCTCATAATATAAAAAGTAATGCCGGTTACTTTTGATACTCTATGTTCAAGCAAAACGACTAAATTTCACCATTAAGCAGCTAGTGTTTTTTTTTGGTAGTTAAGAGATACATAAATATTTATTCAGTAAATTCGCGATTCAGCATAAACAGACAGTGCAAGTATACAATGTACAGTGCGTACACATACAAATAAATATAAGAAAATGCTCCTTCAACTTTATAAGTCTCTCATGCGTCCCGATCTGGATTACTGTATACAGGCATGGAAGCCTTACCTCCTGAAAGAACATATTCTAGAAAGGTACAATGTCGGGGAAAAGTTTTGAGTTTATATTACGGTTTTTTTCCCCTCTTTATTTCTTTAATTCTTTCATTAACTCTTTATTTCTTTATACCTTTTCTCTGTTTTCTGTTCTGTTACTTTTTTCTTATCTAGTTATATTCTGACCTAGGGCTTACCTGGGAACCCCTGATATGTTACACTCTTCAATACTCACGGTATCTGCGGTTATTCTTTCAGAACATAATGTATAATATAACATTAATAACTTAACTACGGTGATAGTAACAGGACACTTGGGTGGTAGCAGTGTGGCGAGGGCTGGGCACGTGGGTGTGTTTGTATTTAATGGTATCAAGGAATGTGGGAAGAAACAAAGGTGAATACTGCACGAAGTGATATCCCCAACATAAATTCAAGGAAGTTTATTTAAAATAAGTTGCATACCGGACACTTTGTCAGAGCATACACTTTTGAACCACTCCTGAGGGTTCACTGAAGACCTAAATTTACGTTAACACTGATACAACTCCAAAGACCACTTGGCCTTATTACTTCTACGTCAGCCAATAAGTATTCACGTCAACAGGACCAATGTTCAGTCAAGAGTACTATAGGTTTCTGATAACATTCTATGACAGTGATCTTGTTTCCCAGCACTTGATACACTGTGACACAATATAGGGGCCTCTATTTCTAAAACAACCCCTGATCACTGTACACAAAGAGAGTTGTGCAGACAATGAACTACTTGAAAAAAAACGATCACACACGAACATGCAAAATTGAAAATATTAAATTCGAGGATATTAACACCTACTGCGGTCCCTGTTTGTTTCAAATCTGTCAATCACTTGATTGATAATAATTATTTCCTATTCCGGAATAATCAGAGATACAACAAGACACCCAGAGCTACTAAGACCTCCCCATGCACTCCTCTCAGTCCCAGACCTCCATAAAATATCACGGTGTGAAGGTGTGGAACAACTTACCCCACCCATCGAGCAAAAATTTTTATTTTTTTTATTATATATATATATATATATATATATATATATATATATATATATATATATATATATATATATATATATATTTTTTTTTTTTTTTCAGGGATAAGCCCACCCGGGCACAGGTCACTCACCCACTTGAAGCCTGGGACGAAAAAAAAAAATAAAATAATAATAATAATAATAATAATAATAATAATAATAAATCAATCATATTAAATTTTATAAGAGAATAAAAAATAAAAATAAAAATAATAAAATAAAAATATTAATAATTGTCATAATAATAATAATTAAGAAAAAAAAGATGATGAGTGAGAAACGATAACTGTATTTGTGTTGTCAAAGCAAGATAAACAATTGAGACCCTGCAATTGTGTGTAAATAAAGCGGAAAATGAGGTCAGTAACCTGCGACTTGGTCTATATGGCAGCAGGGTCTACCAATAGACAACAACACATTATGATTCCAATATCTTCCCAGGCGGTAATACCTCCTGTTTGGTAGCCTTCGCTCCCTCTTTAAATCATCTCTGAAAAAAATAACTATTGTCTAAATCTTAATAGTTTTGTAATGCCTACTTTGTATTCTACATTGTACCACCAAAACCATGTCATATAGATAGATAGAAATTATAATTGCAATAATTATATTTGCTGACAAGACATGATACTGACCTTCTGTCCTCTTGTTCCCCTCTATAGATATCAACCCTCTGTAAAATATGCATACAGGATACATTCTAATATAAATGTAAACAAATAATAAAAATAACGAAGTGATAACCGTGTTAACATACTGATATGTTGTTATTACCACCATGCTGCGTGTACTATTCCAGATGATATTAAATGTTATAATACTTCCTGAGATTAATGTACAGCACAGTGGCGTAGCTGAGTGTGTGCTGCCCAGGGCACCCTTGAGTTCCCCCCCCCGTGACCCTACAAAAAATACATATTGCACAGTGATCACTACATATATATATATATATATATATATATATATATATATATATATATATATATATATATATATATATATATATATATATATATATTAAATAGTTTGCCTTACTGTTGTCAGACAAAGCCACCCCGATCAAGTAGGGGCTTTTGTCTGGAGTAAGCGTCTGGGGGCTTTTTGTCTGGGTGGCTTTTGTCGGGGGCTTTTATCCTGCCCAGTGAGGATAGTGTCTAGTATAAAATCGCAATGCTGTGAAACAAAATCTTAATATTTAATCTCAGTACCGCAGCAAAGTCACATCAATATTTTTAACCAATACTTTAATATTTCTTACCTTATAAGTATTATGTCTTCCAACAAGTAAATAACTGGATCGAAAACACAAGAGAACTTAAAGTCGTCCAGCCTCCCCTCGTCTTGTCGATGGAGACTTGTGCAGAACTTGAAGTGAATTGCTTGTAACTGGTGGATTGGTCGGCTGTACATGAACTGATATGACCC